CACTGAGAAAATATTCACACCCCTGGAGCCCCTGGTATGGCAGTGGCACTGAGAAAATATTCACACCCCTGGAGCCCCTGGTATGGCAGTGACACTGAGAAAATATTCACACCCCTGGAGCCCCTGGTATGGCAGTGACACTGAGAAAATATTCACACCCCTGGAGCCCCTGGTATGGCAGTGACTGTCCGAAGTTTCCCTCAGGATAGCTGGTGCTGTGTCTCGCAGGCCAATCCATTTCCCATCCATTTGCTGGATGGGAAATTGATTCAACTCTACAGATGTAACCAATGTTAAATGTTGGTAGCAACTCACCTGCCGAATCAACTAGCCCTGAAAATGGATGGCGCTCTGGACTGCGCTAAGGTGGAGTATGGCCTTGTATTGGTTTAGGTTATAACAGTCACAGGAGGCGAGCAGCCAAACCAGAAGAATCAGAATCGCAACTGGGGGAAAATGTGTGGACAGAGTTAACACCTACATCCGGGAATATTAATTAATCATGAGCTGTAGAGCAGCCTAAGCTGCAGCAGGATCCTGCCAGGAATGAATGAATGAATGATTGTAAATCAACTTTAAACCTGGGGAACGTGTGTGGATGGAGTTAATACCTATAACTGGGCTTAAAAATAGCTGTTGAAAAAATGCCAGGGATGTTGCAATTAAATAATTAATTTTATAATAAACAATAACAATGAACTATTTCAACGGAACTTAAAACGGGAAAAAAAGAAAAACAATTGAAAAGAAATCATTGTTTTTATTATTAACTGTAATTCTGCACTCCACCACTGGGTGGCGACATGTTCACATGGAGCCTCATGAGCAGCTCTGAACAGGGACAAAGGACCCGTTCTTTGACTTCACATAACTCTTCCACCGTTGCTGCTATCAACCCCATTCCAACAGCTCTGAACAGCTTAATATCCCAGCTTTGCATTGATATATGACACAGGGTGCTACTCAGCGCTGTGCTGTATTTATGCAGCAGAAAAAAACAGAGCAGATTGTGTCATATTTCAATGCAAAGCTGATAAACATTTATTGTGTGTATTGCTTATACATTTTGCAATACTGTAGCAAGAAATGCTGCTGTTCTTTTTAAACCAAAAGACAGCACTTTTTGTATCCAACATTCCTCCATGGTTGGCATTTATTTTTAAAATGACAACAAACAACAGCAGTGAAAACCCCTGTTGTCATTGTCTTCCGGTCTCTCTACCTTTTCCGATGGTACCAATGATCTTTCAATATGCGTCCTTGATGGTCTAACGCGAAATAACCTGGCTCAAAGCTGGGAGTCCGGGGTACGATACCTGCTAGTTTGTTTTATTTCTTTCAATGGGCACACTGGACATGCAGGCATTGAATACTGACCATAAACTTAATTTTATTTTTTACTTGTAAAAAGTTATATCATAATAAATATTTTTATGTCCTATCCTGC